GCTACAAGCATGGACAGCTTCAAAAGGGAATTAGATAGGCATATGGAGCAGAGGTCCATCAGTGGCTATTAGCCACAAGGTATAGATAGGGGCTCTGGGGCAAGTGATGCTCTGTCATCTTGGTGCTAGGGGGGGTCAACAGTGGGAGGGCTTCTAATGTCCTGGCCCCACTGGTGGACCTCCTGATGGCACCTGGTATTTCTGGCCACTGTGTGATACAGTGTTGGACTGGATGGGCCTTTGGCATGATCCAACATTGGCGTCTCTTATGTTCTTGTTCAAGTTGACACTTCCATTGAATTACTTTTCTGTTAGTCTGCTTGGGCAAGGTCTCCTCTCTTATTTTCAAGCGTGCTGCTGCTGCTGCCAAAGTAAAATGGATTTTTAGGCCAAGCCCAAGAGCCCCACCTACAACAGCAGCGGAAAGAGGTTCTTGGGAACACCTTGCTCGCTACAAGAACATCTCGGGGAGCTTCTGCCTTGTCGACAGGTACAAAAACCTGTCCGTGGCCAGAGACATGAGCCTTTTGGGGGAGGGGGGAGAGCCAACTCACAACCTGCAGCCATTGTGTGAGCCATTCCCGTGGGTTTCAGAATCTACTCAGTATGTAGCCTCGTTCTTCTCTATTTAAATGATATTTTGTTTCAACTGCTGGCTTTCTTAAATGATCTCTAGCTGCTTTTTAAAGTCACATTGGGTCTCTCCGGCGGTGAAAAGAAGCGGGGTAGTCAAGGACCTAAACCAATCTTATCAAGCAAGCATTTCCTTGGGGGAGGGATATATATGAACTTCACTTGGTGCACACAGGCGGGGAGAGAGAGAGAGAGGCAGGCAGGCGGGAGATGCTGTTTGGTGGCCTGATGTTAGAATCCCACCGATCTGCCAATCACCAGCAGGCTGACCTAAAGCTTTCCCTCCCACCTCCTGGCAGGAGGGAAGGAAACTGCATATTGTCTCAACATCTGTTCCCAAGGAGGTGGTCTGTCTCACTGCATCGATTAACCAACCCCCCCCCCCCAAAAAAAAACCCTGTAGTCATATCAAATTCAAATTGCACAACCGCTATTCATGCACAGGAAGGCCTGGCGTGATCTGATCCATGGGGTCTGAAGAGTCGGACTCGACTGTGCGACTGAACAACAACATTCATGCTTTGGGGGCTCACTTAACGGAGGCAACTGCGGGGTTTGCAGCTCCCCCCCCATGCTTCATACACGCGAGGGAAGGAGGCGGTAAAATGGACTGCAACATTTCAGGCGGCCGGTGAAATATGACATTTTGGAATGCGCCCCATTGTAAAAACCACCACGCAAACAGAAGAAGAGTTGGTTTTATACCCCACTCTTCACTACCCAAAGGAATCTCGGAGCAGCTTACGATCGCCTTCCCTTCCTCTCCCCACAACAGACACCCTGTGAGCAGTGTTTCCTCTAAGCTGAGTTAGTGTGAGCTAGCTCAGTTTTTTTAGCCTCCAGCTCACACCTTTTTGCCTTCGCTCAGGAAGGCAGGCTCCAGAGCAAACTAATTCATGCAGCAGCCAAATCGCTCGCTCACAACTTTCATGCCAGTAGCTCACAAAGCAGAATTTTTGCTCTCAATACTCCACAGCTTAGAGGGAGGCATTCAGGTGGGGATGAGAGAGCTGTGAAAGAACTGCTCTTGAGAGAACAGCTCTGAGGCAACTGTGACTGGCCCAAGGTCACCCAGCAGGCTGCATGTGGAGGAGTGGGGAATCAAACCTGGTTCTCCAGATTTGAGTCCGCCACTCTTAACCACGACACCACACTGGCTCTCGAAAGGGGAGGGCTCACGGCTCAGTGGGAGAGCCTCTGTGTGGCGTGCGGAAGGTCCCAGGTTCGATCCTCAGCATCTCCACTTAAAAGGACCAGGCAGTAGGTGATGGGAAAGACCTCGGCCTAAAACTCCAGAGAGCTGCTGCGAGCCTGAATAAACAATACTGACCACGATGGGCCAAAGGTCTGATTCAGTGTAAGGCAGCTTCACGTGTATTCAGGTATACAGCCAGCCTTGAAAAGCAGAACATTTTCAGAGGTATTTAGCATAGAGTAGATACCATCTTAAAAAAACCAAACATCATTGTACTCATAGAGGATTTTTAATATATTAATACAGAATTGTGTCAGCTTCAGAAAAAGGAACATTACAAATTTCCCCCCCAAATAGGTGCTATGAAGAATTCAAAGGCCCCTTCCAGAAAATATGCCCCCCCCCCACACACAAAGAATAAGCCACATAACCTATCCACACCCCTAGAGTTACATGGACACACCCCTAGAGTTACATGATAGTTGCTTCTTACACTTTGTACAAGTGCAGCGAACCATACACTGCAGGGACAAAGCTCCCCACCCCAACTGCTAGTACAACCCAAGGAACATTCATTCCCCAAACCAAGGATTAGTCCAGACTCAGCTTAAAGGTAAAGGTTCCCTTGCTCGAAAGCCAGCCGAATCCGACTCTAGGGGTGCGGTGCTCATCTCCGTTTCAAAGCCGAAGAGCCAGCGCTGTCCAGACGTTTCCGTGGTCATGTGGCCGGCATGACTAAACACCGAGGCGCACGGAACGCTGTTACCTTCCCACCGAAGTGGTACCTATTTATCTACTTGCAGTTTCTTGCTTTCGAACTGCTAGGTTGGCAGGCGCTGGAACTAGAGACGGGAGCTCACTCCGTCATGCGGCACACTCGGGTCTCGAACTGCTGAACTACCGACCTTCCACAGCCTGCAGTTCAGCGTCTTAACCACTTGAGCCACCGCAGCTCCATAGACTCAGCTTAGTTCAATTTAAAATGCAGAAATTTATGGACTTTCAGTAGTGCAGTATCTGGTCCATCTTGGGAACGGTACTGAGGGGCATCATCAAGTATCCTAAAGGGGAAGTCTGTTTCTTTCTTTCTTTTATTGGACTTGTATCCCGCCCTCGCCACAAGCAGGCTCAGGCAATGCTCCCCCTAAACTGTAGAGTCTTGTGGGCAAAAATTCTACTTTGTGAGCTACTGGCATTAAAGTTGTGAGCGAGCGATTCCACTACTGCATAAATTAGTTTGCTCTGGAGCCCTCCTTCCTGAGTGAAGACAAGAATGTGAGCTGGAGGCTAAAAAACTGGGAGCTAGCTCACACTAACTCAGCTTAGGGGGAACACTGAGTTCAGGGTGGGTATAAAAATGTCCAGTAGGTTCCCCATTTAAAAAAAACATGCAACCATGTTCCAAGTGAGGAAAGACACGAACTTTGAGTATTACCTTTCACCAGGAGCTAAATATGGCTTTTTGGAGTGCTTTGGAAGCCACATTACATCCAAAGCGACATCTTGAACATGTGCCAATACAGCCATTGCTGTTCCAGTGCCTGGGCCGAAAACACCGTTTTAACTATTGCACAACTTTGACAGTTAGGCTGATAGGATTCGTCTTCATGCTGTTCACAAAGAGAGAACCTTCCCAGGACTATTACAATTTGAACGCGGGGTGTGGGTGATGTCTTACCAGAAGCGTGGCTTTTCTCAAAGAATCCCCCTCCCCCAAACACCAGACATTTAACCGGTGACTTGGTGGTTTCCATTTAAATAATAGATTTTTAGAACTCCTAGTTAAGAAAAATACTCCCCCCTCCCCCCCAATTGTGAGCATGGCCAGGACGATTAAAGGGAGGTGGATAATTAAAAGCAAAGAAAGCCATCTTCTTCAGTCAGATCCATCCACCCATGAGGGGACTGCGCTTCCTTATGCAGTGGCCAGGATCTGACCTTACCTGGAGATATTGCAGCCCCACCTACTAGTCTGATTGATACAAGACAGGCTTTTCTGGGTGGAGAAGAACAAGACTTTACAAGTTTTCCCTGCCAACATTGGCTCAAACCTGCCAGTAATGCTCCCTTTCGGAGTGAAATTTTGACAGCAGACCTATGACAGCAGTGTTTATTTACTTTCCCCTTCCTGTATAACTGGGGGAGGGAACAGAAACCAAAGAAGCAGCCTGAAGCGATGACATCTAACCCAGTACCGCCAACACGGATTGGCTCTGCCAGCCTGGTGTAGAGGTTAAAGACTGTCAGACTGGGATCGGAGAAACCTAGGTTCAAATCCCCTGCTGTGCCCAGGAAGCTTGTTGGGTGACCTCAGGCCAGTCACGTGCACTCGGCCTCACCGACCTTGCAGGGTTGTTGAGAGGAATAAAATGGAGGAGAGGAAAATGATGCGAACTGCTTTGGGACCCCACCAGGGAGAAAGGCAGGGTATAAATGAAGCTAAGTCAATGAAGTATGTTTTCAAGCGGAGGCTGGACGACCATCTTTCGGGTATGTGGTAGGGCTTTCGGCTATGCTCTTGCAGAGTGCAGGGGGTTGGACTAGATGACCTGCAAGGTCCCTTCCAACTCTAATATTCTATATGATAAGAGCTACTCTTCAAGGCCTTGGGGTTGAGGTCTTTCCCAGCCCCACTGACCAAAGATCCTTTTCTCTGGAGATGTTAGGAACTTACCCTGGAGCCTCCTGCATACAGACCAAGTATTGTAAGCGCTCGTCTCTGGGCTGGGTTAGGGGCCAGGACACAAGAAACGTGAAGATCAGGTGTACGCCGGTGGCACAGAATCTGCACTCAACCCACCGCTATGACCTAAGATACCAGAGACTGAACTGGAGGACCGCCAAGCTACGGGTCCTCTGAAAGTTATGCCCAAATATATTTTCCAAAGGCAAGACGGGCAAAGTAACCACTAAGGCACATTGAATAGGAGGCTGTTTGTGCTCAAGCTAAGCGGTTGGTCCAGAGCGTCTGTCAGAAATCACGCCAGCAGGATGGGGGAGGATCTAGTGCCCGATGGTGGCGGCCAAGTTCTCAGGACTGTCACCTCCCAATGTTGGGTGAGACAAGCTCATGCCCTGCACGTAGGGAAGGGAAACAGAGGCGGCCCATTATCCATTAGAGCGGCGACTCTAGGTTGGGGGAAAAGAAAACCACGAGGCTTAGGGGACAAACTCATGTCAAACTGCTTTATTACATCTTAAATAACAGTACATTTTAATATAGTATCTATCTTGCATCCAGCTTTCTTGAAGTACACTGACTTTAAAATTAAATACAAAAGGTGAAGGAGGATACAAGGGTGGTGGAGAAAGCTCTACGGGTAATAGTTTCATGTTGGGGGGGAGGGGAGGGGAAAGGAGATTTTTTTTTAATATCATTCTTTATTTTTCCCCCGAAATGCCAATTCCAGGCCTAAAAACGCACGATTACAGCACATTGTATACAGAGATGTCGCAGAGAGGGGGGAGGAGGAGGAGGAGGAGGAGGAGGGGAACCAGAGTGGAGAAAAAAAAACCCACAGCTGCAGCATGGGAAGGGAGATTTTGATATATAGACAGAGGAGAAAAGTTTGACAGAACAATTTACTATTCAGGGGTTTTCTGTCAGGTTTCCCACCCCACCCCCCTTCCCATTTTCAAAAACCAAGGCAGGTAAGCCAGCTCATTAAGGAAGCCAAAAAGAAAAAAAAGGGGGGGGTTTAAGGTGATCAAAAGGCTTCCTTGGTTACAGCCAACTGGCCACTGAGAATTTAAATTTATAGAGGACCGTCTGTTATCCCCCCCCCCCTCCTCTGCACCCCGGAATCAAATCTACAGCAAAAGCTGAACAGGTAATTAAAAAAAAAAAATCTTTTTTTACAATAGTGACTTATCAATGCTACTCCAGGACGTGCATAGGTTGGTATTTTTAATTCTTCATAATTTTTTTTTTATGCACAGAGTAGCGACGGTAAAGGCAGAATATGGCGATGGTTACAACTTATGTTTTTTTAATAAGGGGGGAAAAAACAAAAAGAAAACCAGGTTATTCTTTTAAAGAAAAAAACACATTGAAGGACACATTAGTCTCATTTGCACATCAGCATTTCTACAGCATGCGATTCTAAAGAGTAATCCAACCCAATATGGCAAATATGGGGGGGGGGGATATGATTTCTTTCCATTGTTCTCATTTAACTTAGAAAGTTCAAGATCATTATTTTTAAAAAAACCCAAACATTAATTTGTACATTGTTCCATACACAAAGGATTTATGGAATAGCCAAGCGCTGAACAGGTTTTCTCTTTGCTAAATACAAACCCACTATCCCACAGAACCTTATTTGTTGAGATTGCGGGGTAGCGTTAGGGCACAGTTGGCCCTCCAGTGGCGCATTATTAAATCCGAACTATGCCCCCCCCAAAAAAGGGAGTAGGAATAATAATCATGAGTGAGGTGGGGTGGAGAAAAAAACTAGTTTGCATTTTGTTAACCCATAAAAAGGTGAATTTTTTCTTTAAACATTCAAGACCATGTACAGCGTGTGCTTGGTTACCTTACTTAACTTTGTCCTATATATGCAGTAATTGTGCAACAATCTGTGACACTAAGACAGAAGTTTTTTAAAAAAATGAATCCAGGGACTAAATTTACAGCATAAACAACCCCAGAAGCACCTGGGCTTGGACTCCCTTGTATTGACTGTAAAAGCAATTTGCGTTTAAAAAATAAAATAAAAAGAAATATGGACAGAGAGTCAATATCGATCCTGCTACAAACACGACTTCAAAATCTGAAAGTGAGAGTAAAACAAAGGCGCCCCCCACCCCCAACTTAGAAAAAAAAGAAAGTAAAACCAAATCAATGGTTTATAATCTTTAAACTACAGTGAAACGTAAACGTCGTCTGTTTCACATGTTTTTTCCTGTTTTTTTTCTGGACATGCTTACAGAAGTGTGTTTTCTTTAGTTTGCTAGACGAGAGAAGTGGTCCCCAAAAGAATGCACAATATATTTTTTTTAAAACTTCATTCGCTATTTGTATGTAACCACAGAGATTCTTCTTTTAGGAGATAATTGTGCTCTTCATTTCGGCAATAGGAGGCGGGAAAAGATCTTGCCCTTTGGTGGCTGGGTTGGATGGAGGGGGGGAGGGGGGAGGGGTCCAAGTTAGTACAGTTGGATTGGATACGTTATTTTAAATTTTTGACTGTGGTGGAAAAGTCTTCCAGTCAGCGTGGAGTCCACTGCTATTCTGACATACAAATACACACACATACACACACAGAAAAAGAGCTTGGTTAAGATTTACACAGCCCAGGGTGACGACAACCTTCAGAGTTAAACCCAATAAACTTTCTCCCTCTTTCAACTAACTTTAGGGCTACGTTTATAGACAGGCAAGTGCTTTGGACCTGGTCTATCCAAAGCCAGCTTTCAAGACTGCTTACAGTGGGATATCCCTTTCTACATTCTTTCCTAGCGTGGAAATACACCCATAAGGAACCAAAGGCAACAGTGGGTGGAATAGCAAGAAACAAAGATACAGGCCGTGTGTGTGTGTGTCTATACAGAGAGACAAGTCCACCAAAGGCCCAGGTGGAAGATGTTTGCACCTCGTGCAGGGAACGCACAAACAGATAGCCTGGCTCAAAATTAAATGAAACTAACCAAACACAAAAGTTCCCACGTTTAAGATACGGTTATAGCGGGACTGTCTCTGGGCATAAAATGTTCTTGTGGACATTTAACTATCTTCTGGCCCACACACACAGAGGATCCAAGCCATGCTCCGTAAGCACTCCTGTGCCCTACGAAAGCGAACGGAAGCTGCATAACAGCAAAGGTCTGCTCTTGTGCAAATCCCATCCATTACAAAGGAGGATGGAAATTGCCCAATGTGTGTGTGGGGGAAGGATCTCCCCCCCCCCCCGACCTTTTCTGAAATGAAGGGGAGACTCTTCCACTGTTCCTTCTATGATCGAGTTCTTGTGAGCCAGTTCACAGTCTTTTAGTCTGGCTCACACATTTATTTATTTATTTATTTTATTTTATTTATACCCCGCCCTCCCCGCATGCGGGCTCAGGGCGGCTTACAACAATATGGCACATAGTGCAATAAAACGCAATAAAACAATTTAAAACAGTTAATACATGGGACACACCCAAGGATCCCGCGTGACTAAAACCCTCTCTCCATATTGCACATGCCCTTTCATTCCAAGGGAGGTTACTGTGGCCTCCTGATGTTATCTGCCACTTAGCCTCCGGCGGTGCCCCATTGGTGGTAGTGGTGGCGGCGGCGGCTCCTATCCGAAAGCCTGGCGGAAGAGCTCCGTCTTGCAGGCCCTGCGGAACTGCAACAGGTCCCGCAGGGCCCTGATCTCCTCCGGGAGCTCATTCCACCAGATAGGAGCCGCTACCGAGAAGGACCTGGCCCTTGTGGCCGCAAGCCTGGCCTCTTTCGGGCCCGGGGTCGCAAGACGATGTTGCGACCCCGACCGAAGTGCTCTTTGGGATGTATGTGGGGCAAGGCGGTCCCTCAGGTATGCTGGACCTCAGGAAGGAGGGCTCCAGAGCAAACTTAATTTATGCAGTAGCCAAATCGCTCGCTCACGGCTTTAATGCCGATAGCTCACAAAGTAGAATTTTTGCTCACAAGACTCCACAGCTTAGAGGGAGCACTGGACTCTTCCTAAATGCCACTGGATTCACAAGGACTTCAGCTGAAAATTAACCAGCTTTCATTCTTCCTTGCGAAGCTAACAAACACATTTAATTTCAGGGGAGGGGTGGGGAGGGGGGGGGGTTAAATAAAGCATTCTACGCACTTAGCCTGCACAGACCTTTGACACAGGATTCCTTCCCTTGCCATAATAACGAAATTAAAAGTACCAAGCAAGCTTATTTACATTATATAGGCATCACTTCATTGTCAGGTCTCACTGACAATCCTTTTTTTTTTTTTTAACTTTCCTAAACTCCAGCTAGACATTCACATGCAGTTAAGTGTACAAGACACAGCCCACTGGAGTTCAGTATCCTCCTCTGCAGACTGGGAGCGGAGGCTTGCCTGGGATGGCCCCGCACAAGTTCCGCCAAAAGAAGCAGAGGCTGCCCAAGAGAAAGGGGCTTGAGGATCACTAATGCTTCAGACGGAGGGGAAGGACAGCGTATGTGTGTGCAGGGAGGGAGGGAGAGAAATGAAGGTCTTTGTGCAATTCAGAAACTGGTTAGGGAGGACTGCTCTAGCTCTTGCTGGTCCGTGCCATAATGCCCCCACCCGGCCACCTTTCCGAAATACCTACAGACTTTAGTTCCAGATCTTGAGGAAGCTGTCCCACGATCCTGTGGCCACAGCCATGCCATCGTCAGTCACGCCTAAGCAACTGACACGGTTGTCGTGGCCAGCTAGGACACCTAGAAATTTAAGAGGAAAAGGGGGGGGGGGAGGAGAGAGAAATGAGTTACAGAAGGGCAAACATTTCAAGAGCTGCTAAATTCCGACACAGAATTCATTACAAGACAGATTCAGAAGACGTGTAGGAACAGACATCAGGCTTTTCGGGTCACTCCTCCTGGCGGCCAGGTGACCTTGAACCAGTCACACTCTCTTAAGCCTAACCTACCTCGTAGGGTCGTTGTGAGGATAAAAAGGAGGGGAGGGGGACAACGTGAGCCACTTTGGGTCCCCAATGGGGAGAAAGGCAGGCCCAAAGGAATGAATCAAATAAATAAATGTAACGGTCACAAGAAACTTCCGACAGGTTACAGGAAGATGTGCCTATTTAATTCGGAGCTCAAGGCTTCTTCTGCATGCGCTCGTGACGTTCCCTCGCGTACGAAAGCTTTCCTGCTAAATTCAAGCAAAGCGTAAAGTCCACGGCTCCTTGACCGCTGGAGCTTCTCCTGGGATGAAACTCATAGGAGAGGAGCTCTTGCACACAGGGACTCCGTAAGCGTGCTGGAGCAGGCACAGTGGTTTCAGCTGGGGGGGGGTCGCTGAGGGCACACCACAACTGGCATCTGCCACTCAGCCTTCCGTCTAGCTGGCACGCTGAGGACGGAGCCCTCTGAATGTGGTTTAAAGGGAATCTCCAAATACATTTACTTGTGTCTGCCAGAAAGCCCGAGGGCCACTGTTTTTAACAGTTCTCTTGCCGACTTTCGGGAGAGTGTTGTGACAGACTTTCCGTATAAAATATGTATAGCGTGATGACAATTACTGCCCATCTCCATAATCCATTAGAGCCATAGAAATGTCAAGGAAGACTCCGATCTGAGTCAGCAGCCTCCACGCTTCGAGCAATAAAAACCTCTGCGCTTCCTGAGGTCCAGAGCCAAAACTAGCAAGCGCGAGGGGCTGAGAGCATCCTGAAAAATTTATGGCTCCTCGTAGAAAGCCAGTCTCATGATGTGGCTGCAGGGGCGAGGGAGCGGGTCACGTGAGCATCACTGGTGTGGGTGTGTTTATGGGCCGAGCAAAGGAGAAGAGACAAGGCGGTCTTCCTTGACCGCTTGATCAGATCAGGAACCTAGAAGGCCGAGCAGCTAAACCATAAAGCAAAAGATAGCCATTGACCACAAAGTGCACAGTAGCTGCAAATTAAAAACATTCGTAGAGCATAGATAAAAACAAAGAGGTAGTGGGTGTGGCATCACATCCATCAAGACATTGCATACAGCAGCAAATATAAGTCACACATACAATAACCACGCACACATGTAAGAAGGTGTACAAAGTGTGGTTATGCAAAGTGATAGTCTCTGATGGGTGCGGGCTTCCTCGATCTATGCAGGCCTGATGGACAGCAAAACTTGTACCACTATTATTTGGAGCTGCACTATTCCATTGACTCGTGTACTACCTGCCTTGCCTGGAACGCATATTTTATACTTTTAGTGCTGCTTGTTCTTATTTAGAGCACTAAAGAAGTCCCTCGGGGCCGAAACGCGTTTGGTCGAGTGGCTATTGTGTGTTTAACTTCAATTTGTTGCTTACTTGTGTTTGTCGCTAGCCTGATCTCATCGTATCTCAGAAGTTAAGCAGACGGGAGACCACCAAGGAAGTCCAGGGTCGCTCTTCACTTGGCACCACACACATATATATATATATATATTTTTAACAATGCATTTCTCCCCTTTGTTACCTCACCTGGATGGGCCCGGCTACCCTGATCTCATCATATCTCGGAAGCTAAATTAGCTGCGACTTGGCTGGCCCTTGCACAAACAAGAGTCGCTGGTGGGTTGAATCCCTCCTATGTCTTTGGGAACTAATAACTCTGCTTCAAGAAGAAGAGGAGGAAGAGGAAGAAGAAGAGATTGGATTTATACCCCTCTCTTTACTTTGGAGTCTCAGAGCGGCTTACAGACTCCTTTCCCTTCCCCTCCCCACAACAGACACCCTGTGAGAGAGGTGGGGCTGAGAGAGCTCTTGACAGAAACGGCTCTTTTTCAAGGACAGCTCTTATCAGAACTACGGCTTGCCCAAGGTCATCCAGGCAGGTGCAAGTGGAGGAATGGGGAATCAGACCCGGCTCTCCCAGATTAAAGTCTGCGCACTTAACCACTACACCAAACTGGCTCTCGCACCAAACTGGCTCTCACATCCCTCAATCATTGGAGGGGTGTGTGTGTCAGAAATGCCAAAAGGAGACAAGTACGATCCTCTCAGTTCTAGGATTCTCAGTTTGTGGATTCTGTGATTGTGGAACCCTTTGGCTTTCCCCTCACAAGGAAGGTAAATTCTTGCCAACTCATTGTGTCAAATTAAGTATACAAGGGGGCAAAGCTTTGATACATATTTGTAACTGTGACGGGTAGGCATCTGTAATTGCTATTCAGAGGAGGAAAATTTTGCTGAGCAGAGTATTTAGGGTTATAAAATCAGCAGCTACAAATCATTACTACTTGACAGTTACCGTTACCCTTTTTTTAAAAAAAAGCAGGCGTCAATGCTCAGAGGAATACTAAACAGCTTTTAAGTACTGCCGCACAGCACAACTGCCAACTCGTCGCCTGAATCATCCCGAGGAGATACTAACAGGGTAATATCAAGCGAGTGTGAGGTTTCTTCGTACATCTGGTAGGTGGCAGGTATTGTGCTGCACACGATGGGGAACATGTCCACACACTTAGCTCCATGTACCCCGCATATCCACACGCATACAAACACACAGGGATCGTGGGTCTAGTTTGAAAGCAAACGAGATGAACGAGCCAAAATAAATGCTACACTGTTTTCACATATGACTATCCCTGTTCTGCATGCAAATTTGATTTCCTGAGGAGGTGGGGCTCCAACACACAGGCTTCTACGTCCTCGTGCATGCAAGGGGGGGGAGGGGGACATTAGGAAGGCAGGGGATCCAGTCTACCAGAAATTCTCTACACCATTCAGAGACTGCCACAGGTCTGAAATAAAAGTCTCTCCTTGGGGTTACAGCTACTCTCTCCCCTGCCGTCTCCCACCACTCACCTCGTGAATATAAAAAAAGCATCCACCTGAACAAACGAAGCCCGCGCATACAAATTGGCACACTCAACCCTCAGCACAGCTTTTAAAAATCTGAACAGCAATTAGTGATCAAAAAGACAAACATGGGGTAATTAAGATGTCCATCTGGTATAACTTCAGCCCATTTTGCGGTGTTTATATCAAGCACTAACCACCACCACCCCCGCAACCCCGGGATCACCATCAATCATAAATAGGAGCATCTAAATCAATAAGGATGTTGTATGGATCTGACTCCTCTCCCCTGCGGCAGCAGGAACTGCACCGTGTGATTTTTCTGCGTAAACTCAGGTCTGGGTCTACCCTGATGGCCCATCCAGCCCCTTCCATGCTCTTGACCCCCTTCACCCCACTGCTCCTCCGGCCCTCCTTCCTTCAGAACGCTGGGGGCATGCACCACTTTTCTGGAGCCCCGAGCGTTCAAGAAAACCGCCGCTTACCCGCTCTGTCCGCTTTCAGCGTGTCCCACACATTGCAGTTGAAGTCATCGTAGCCAGCTAGGAGGAGACGCCCGCTCTTGGAGAATGCTACAGAGGTGATGCCACAGATGATGTTGTCATGGGAATAAACCATAAGCTCCTGGTCGGCACGGAGATCAAAGAGCCGGCAGGTGGCATCGTCGGAGCCGGTGGCAAATGCGTTGCCGTTGGGGAAGAACTGGAGGGAGGCAAGGGAAAGGGGCATGTGTGATGTGACAAGTGCAAAGTTCCCTAAGCTCAAAAAGAGGGAGTAGAAGAGGGGATTGGATTTATACCCCGCCCTTCACTCGGAGTCTCAGAGCGGCCGACAAACGCCTTTCCCTTCCCCTCCCCACAACGGACACCCTGTGAGGTGGGTGGGGCTGAGAGAGCTCTGACAGAAACTGCTTTTTTCAAGAACAGCTGTGCCAGAACTATGGCTTGCTTGCCCAAGGTCATCCAGCAGCAGCGAGTGGAGGAGTGAGGAATCAAACCCGGTTCTCCCAGATTAGAGTCCGCACACTTAACCACGACACCAAACTGGCTCTATGACGCTGGAAAGCTATCAGCTCACCCCTCGAGAAGTTCTTCATAATGGACATGCATCTGCTGGCAATAGACATGCAAGCACCCCTGGAATTCCAACCTCCCCCCCCCCCGCACACACACACACGTTCTTACGTACACATATGGCATTGATGTCCGACTCATGGCCAGTGAAGGTCTGCCGGCACATCCCTTCTCGGACATCCCACAGCTTTGCAGAGGCATCGCAGGCACCGGAAACAAAACACTTGGAGTCGGGAGCAAGGGACAGGCTCATGACGTCTCCGGTGTGACCAGTGAATGTGGTGGTTTGTTGGCCAGTTTCTATGTCCCACAGGGCGCTGGGCAGAGGAATGAAAAGAAAGCCATGAACCCTTTGAAGTCTCCAAATTATAGTAATTAGCACACACAGACAAAAAAAAAGTCATTCCTCCACACAGAAAATTAGCATGTCAGGGAAAAGTCTAAGTTGGAACCCTCCTCTTTGCCTTGCCAGCTCCTGAAGCGCAGAAGCACATTTCCAAGAGGTGGGTGGAGAATCCATCATGTCAGTCTTCAGTTGCACTCCAGAGGTGTATAGCCCGAAGAGGGATAGAAGACCAGACAAAAGTTGACCGTCTTGGGGGCAGCTAGCCCTCGAATAGGTGGGACAACATACTGGGAGACTTTCTGGCTCACAACTCAGCCTCTTAGCCCCCATATACTACACTGGTTCTCAAAGAGAACCCAGCCCAGGTACTACAGTCAAATGCCAGCAAGTGTTTCTAAAAGGCACAGGGAATCTGCCCCCTTTTAAGACTGCAGCCCAAGGACTCTGCATACGCCTTAAACACCCAGGACACACTTCTGCCCTGAATGGAAGGCCGCGTTTTGCTGCTTAATTAACCAGCAACAGCGGCTTGCTAGACAGCGGCAACTCTCCAAAATGAGCACAAATCATGTACCTAAGATGTGTCAATGGGCATGTACTTCTGCATGTGTCTTTAACAGTTTGTTTCCCAATGGAACCTAATCCCCCCCCACCCCGTAAGCGAGTAGCTTTTCAAAGGTATTAAGAACCCCAAGTATTGACTCTCATAATGTTCTCCTGGAATGGCATATGGTGGCACCCTCACACCCAACTATCAGTGCCCGGCTGTTTTACAGCAGCACCCATCATGGTCACAGTGTTTCTCCCACCTGGAGATGACTTCCTGCCGGTGTGGAGTTTCGCTCAAATAATGTGCTGCCACCTCTTGGCTCCCAGAGCCCACCTACTCTTATCGACAGCTTTAGCACCGCCAACAAGAATGTACAGGGAGAAGAGGGGCCTATTACAAAATCCCCGCAAGCAGCAGAGAGGGCCCTGCCTACGCCTCCCGATGTCAAAGCTTGCCACGCCACACTTCTAAACTGTGGGGAATATCAGACTAGCAGAGATGAGGTACGGGCTGCAAGGTCAGTTTCTTCTGGTCGCAGAAGGTCAACACTGATCAAAGTGGCTCCGAGAGGCCCCTTTGCAGGCGGCTCCTCTGCCAAGCTCCTCTGACAACGAGCGCACCAGAAAAGGCTGTGTTCATGCCACCATTCCATGCAAGCACAAAGAAGTGTGGTGCTGGGCACAGAATTCACCCTCCAAAGAACAGCCGGCTTTGGTTCCAGCGGCATGTTTAAAAAGGCATGCCAGGCAACACCTGGCATTTCTCCAAAGCCGGCAGAGTGGCAGAACCAGATTTCTGGTGGTTTGGCTCTGCTGGCTGACTTGGGCAGTCGCCCCTCCGGGCGACTACTAAAAACAGATTGCGTCACTTTTGTGCTTCGGGAGACATTCTGCGTGGTTTTCTTAAATTTGTGCAGATGGTAATTTGTTATCTCGTCCTGCCACATAATTTATTACAGAAAAAGAATACGGGCAAAGAAACAGTGTGGGGCAGTGGGCAGACTGTTGGGTGAAAACCAGGGAGCCGCAGGTTCAAGTCCCAACTCAGTCATCAAGCTCCGTGGGATGGTCTTGGGCCTGTCAGTAACTTTTAGGCTGATCGACCGGATGGGGCCACTGCAAGGACACACTTGTGTGCACGGGTGGGGGAAGGAATACATTCTGCCTGAGCTCCTTCGAAGGAAGGGTGAGATAAAAGTAAAGGCAATGAACAGTATGAACTAAGGTAATGCAGCTCAAGAGGGAGCAAAGCTTCCGAGACCTTGACAACAGGCTCTTCTCAGCGCTTATTTCTCTCAACTCTCAAAGTGTGGAGAACGTTCAGGAGTTATGAAATTTACAATTTTCATAGCACTTTCCAAGTGCTCAAGGATTTTCATGCTCAAGTTTTGTGGCAGCTTTTGTAACAGCCCTTTATAAGTAGATGGTTGTTATTGTCTCCCTGTTACAAATGGGAGAAGGTTGAAAGGGCCTCCAGTGAGTTCACGGGAGGGCGAGAGGTGAACCAGAGACCTCTTGTTGTATCTTTCTGCTGCTGTGCCAGCTCGGGCCCACATTAAGCTTTTGTCCGCTTATTGTGTGTGTGGATTGGAGAGGGGGGATTTGTCCCCTACTGAAAAATGAAAGCAGGGCTGCGGTAAGCTTAGAAGGCTTCTATTTATCTGTTTCTGAAGATTTCTCTCCAAGGCCTGGCCAAGACATGCGGCAGACTCTGCTAGCAGAACCAGCTGCATCACTTCAGGTTGTGTGTTGTGTAGGGGGATTTTTTAAAATGCTTTTCCATGCACAAATTCTCCGCAAGGAGAAAACTAGCGCAACAGAGAATACAGTGGTTAGACCACTTTACCCTCTCTCGTGCTTGCCTCCATTTACATGGAGTTGCTCCATTTATAGGGAGTTGATCGGCAGCAGGGAACCGGGGTGTGTGTGTGTGTGTGTGTGTCTGGCAACCCTAGGCATCAGTCTACTCGGCCACTTTAGGACTCTCACCATTCCAATTCCGACTTCATTCTGCTGAGTGTGTAGATCGGACCACAGCCACCGCTTAATGAGGGCTTGCAGCCACCTAAATACTGCACAGCGGTGACCTCCAGTCACAGGCACGAAGGAACACTTTGCCACATTGTGGGCAAGCCCTCATGCAATGCAGATTTACACTGTCCCTAGCATTAGGAGAAGGTTTTGCTCCACAATATTAATGCGCGAGCCCGTCGCTATAGAAATGCTGTTGGCCTGGCTCTTACCAAGTGGTATCTCCGGAGCTGGTGACAATCTGATTATCGTCCACAAAACGGCAACATGACAAGTAGCCTGCAATGGGAAGACAGAAGAGGGGGGGGGGGAAACAAGAGCCAAATATGTCTCAGAAACATCTCCGGATTCCCATTCCGCTCACACCCGATGACTTAGGTTATCCACTGCTGCCTTTTCTTTGGTAAATTGGTCCAAAGCGTCTGGACACATTTCAGTGACTTTTTAATACACTGAAACAAGCACGGTAACTGCTGCAAAGAATCCACAAGCTAAAAGGGTAAAAAGGGGCCCAAGGCCACGTCACACGGCCACTGCTGGCATGACTAGCCACTTTTCTCTCCCACCCCGACTATGAACTGAGCACATCCACTCCAAACAAGAGAGGACCACTCAAGCACGTAAACAGCTCAGCCCACTTTTAGGTTGGGCGGGGGTAGGAAACCGCAGCTTGCCATATTAGCAGCACAGGGCTGCCAGCTCTTCCTGTGTCCTTAAGCTGCTCAGGTAAACATGGGTCCAGGCTGCCTGATCAAGCAAGGGTGTTTCCAGAGAAAAGCGAGGCCCATTAGTCATTCCATCCTGTCTTTTGTATCTCTTCCAAACCACAATATCAGACACTGCCTTTTTTTTTTTTTTTGGGGGGGGGGGGGAGACACCCTTGCAAAGTTTGCATCCTGGGTCAGAATGCTGTCAACACATGGAGCTTTCTCCACTGCCCCCCCCCAAGCTACCATTTTCTGTCTCCAGCTGCAAAAAACAAAAACTTTTATAGATGCTCGTTTTCCAGGGTTGCCACCAATGCTCCCTCTAAGCTGTGGAGTCTTGTGAGCAAAAATTCTACTGTGTGAGATCTTGGCATTAAAGTTGTGAGCAAGCAATTTGGCTATGGCATAAATCAGTCTGCTCTGGAGCCCTCCTTCCTGAGCGAAGACAAAAATGCGTGAGCCGGCAGCTAAAAAACTGGGAGCTAGCTCACGCTAACTCATTTTAGAGGGAACGCTGGTTGCCACGGCCACCAAGGATCAGTGTCAGTATCCCAGCATTCTCTGTATCAGTATCCCAGCATTCAAGCTCCTGTACATTCGTGTTTTTAAAAAAAACACACCGAGAAACTGCACCGTGTTCCAATACGGTTTAATGCATCTGCTATTCATTTCATTAGACTGGGAGCTCTGGCTTTGCTGGATTATAAATAACTATCCATTGCTGAGTAACCTGAGTTCCCCTCTGCGAGCCGTTTCCAGAGGGTTCCCTTTAGTCTGTATCAGTAAAGCCTTGCCGAGGCGGAAAGCCAGCAAGACACAGAGCCCGCCTGAGGTTTCCTCTTAAGAACCGCTAAAGGTTTTTCCGGAGCCAAGCTGGCAACCTCTGGAGGAAGAGGCCTCTGCGCTTGGCCGCACCTCGAGATTTTGTTCCTTTGCGGGAAACAAAAGGCAAGCGTAAAGATGCGACACGGCTCTGGGGGTTGCCAACGTTGCGAGATGGGACTTCTCCTGAGCCAGTTCTTTCCCGCTGCTCTTCTGACGTACTGCTACTAAATCCAGGAGCAAATGGAAAAGCTGCAGGGGCACTGCTGAAAGTCACTCGACTGTCTCTGGGAGCACAGAGATACACTAAACATAGCGAATGGCTGCTCCTCCGTGTACTCGCCACCAGTGTTCCCTCTAAGCCAAGTTAGTGTGAGCAAGCTCACAGTTTTTCAGCCTCCAGCTCACACATTTTTGTCTTCGCTCAGGAAGGAGGACTCCAGAGCCAACTAATTTATGCAGTAGCCAAATGGCTCGCTCACAAATTTCATGCCAGTAGCTCACAGAGTAGAATTTTTGCTCACAGGACTCCACAGCTTAGAGGGAACATTGCTCGCCACCCCTGCTTTGCAGCCAAAAATTGGCTCCTGTTCCAAAACATAATGCAGAATGACAGAGTCTCCAACAAGGCATTCATTGGGAAGGGAAGCCGAAGAAGGGTCCGGGTGCAGTGGAACGAGGCCTGACTCTCTCCTGCCCTCCCTATGGTGGTCCTGTTGATGGTGGAAAGTGGGACAGGGATGGAGCTCGAGCCAGACAGAAGGCCAAGAAGCAGGAAGCTGGTTGTGAGAGCAAGACACCGGCACCACCAGGCGGCCCCAGCACACCTGCAACTACCTGCATTCCGAAGGCATCTCAACACTACAAAACTTGGAAGTCGTTCCATAGTCACTTCCTCTCCCCAGGAATTTTATTTATTTATTATCAGATTTACACCCCACCCTCCCAGCCAGGGCCAGCTCAGGGCGGCTTACAAAAAGAGTAAAACACACAACAGACAGTTTAAATAATCCTAAAGCCAAATAAAACATTCTAACATTAAAAGGTGATAACAGTGAAGATACGGATAAAGAAATTTTAAAGATTTTAAAAGATGGCGGCCAACCTTCAATATACCATCCTAGTGGTCAGCCCCTGGATCTAACCTTATGCAGCTGGCACAGGCTGTTTTGATGACTTCAGGGGACAGGGTTCTCTATCGGGGCGGCCCCTCCTAACTGAAGGCCTGGCGGAAGAGCTCCGTCTTGCAGGCCCTGCGGAACTCCATAAGGTCCCGCAGGGCCCTGATCTCTTCTGGGAGCTCATTCCACCAGAGAGGAGCCACCACCGAGAAAGCCCTGGCCCTGGTTATTGCCAGCCTGGCATCCTTGGGTCCAGGGAGGGTCAGTCGGTTTTGGGACCCTAATCGCAGGGGACTACAGTGACAGGGGACTACAGATTTCTAATACATTCACAGCCATCTTAAGCAAACCACAATTCCCAAGATCCTTTGAGAAAAGCCATGACAGTGAAATTGGCATATAAGCAATATAACTGTACCAGGCACATGTACCTTAAGATCTAGTCATGACTGCTCCATCTGCATGAAGGTGAGCCAGAGCCCAACTCGTTTCCATTAGCGCTTTAAGAATGCTGACTGGAGTGAAATTTAGCTTGCAGGTTTACGTAAAAGCATCACGAGGGTGTAAGTCAAGATTTAAAGTTACGCGCAAACAGGACTAAGGCACCGGACATTGAAGAAAGAAAATGCCTCGGTTCCTGAAATGTTGTTTACAGTGCAAAATTATTTTCAGCTTGTGCAGTGTTGCACTTGGCAATGTGCGATTCCTTTCAAGGGACTCTTGTCGGGTTTGGGGAAGTGAAGGACAAAGATTTATGAAGTGACTGCAAAGACCGAGGGAAGCTATTAATGCTTGTTATTTACATGCTACTGCTCAAAAAGCAAGTTTTAACTGCTACACTTCCATGCTGTCCCCCCAACACCTTTATACCAACGGGGGGAGGAATGAAGCACTGAACAGAATAAATATAGCTAGTTTGGCAACAGTTAAGACCTGCAGGCGGGCAGGGCGCGACAGCCCCTTCCAACAACGCCTTGCATCTGCAGCACAGCACATAACACAATTTCTGTGACAGGATGACTGGCTGGGACGGTTCATTCAAGCAACTTGCTCAAAGCAATCCTATCAAGCTGGGTTATGGAGCAAAAAGATCCTGGAAAGCCGCTGAATTGTCTTTCGGGCAGTTGTGGCAGATGGACCCCACTGTGTACGGACTAGCATGAAGTGACTCTATGCTACCCGTTAAGACTGGGGTACAACCAGGGTCGGTTCCAGGTTTTGGGATCCATCTGCCCACCACCAGAGCCCCCCCTCCCCTCCTCGTGCCCTCCTTACACCTCTACACCTGCATCCTTCCGCCACCTGCAAGTCCTTCCCCCCCCCTTGCTCAGTTACCTGCACCCTCTTTCCCCCAACAGCGCTGGGCAGTGTATGCGGCTGGGAGTGCTACTGCCACTGGGAATGCCACCACTGCACAGCACCCCCCCACACATACACGCCCTTCCTTAATGACTGTGGGCAGCTGGGAGCACAGGTACAGAGAGGCGGGCAGGGGTCAGCAATGGTGGCCCCACTGGAAGTCCTGGGCCCTAGCAACTGCCCCACCTTGGGATATGCTGACGCCAGCCCTGGGTACAACTGCAGGTGCTCTACAGAGCTCCTCTGCATTCGTGCACACCCATGCAAAGCCCGAAGGAAGCAACTGCTTGGCAAGTGGCCGTCAATGCCATACCCCCTGGACAGATGCAGGAGCTGATCTACCGGCATTTCAGAAGCACTACCAGCCCTGCCCAGATTCCCACACATACCTACACACAGGGCTCTACTGGTAGCAGGAGCTCCTTTGCATATTAGGCCACACACCCCTAGTGTAGCCAATCCTCCAAGAGCTTACAGTAGCCCCAGTAAGAAGAGCTCTGTAAGCTCTTGGAGGATTGGCTACACTAGGGGTGTGTGGCCTAATATGCAAAGGAGCTCCTGCTACCAGTAGAATTCACTTGGAGCATGGCAGCCTGGAAGGACCCGCTCCCTTTCTTCTTTACGAGAGCATCCCCCCCTAAAGTTCTGGCCAGCCAGGCAAATGGCTGTTTGCGAGCTCTTGCTTTACCTGCTCCCATCAGAAACGGTACATGAGAGCTGGAGTGTGCCCAGCAAAGCAGAAGAAGAGCGCAGCCACGTTTCTCTTCACGAGCTCCTCAAAGGGGTGACCCTGTGTTAACAGCTGCACTAGACCACACCTCTGGAGGTTGCCTCCGTGTAACGCAAGAGTACGAAAGGGTTACTGAGCAACAGGCCACAAGCAAATAAAAGCACGCATGGACATATGAAAACTGCCTTATACTGAATCAGACCACTGGTCCATCAAGGTCAATATTGTCTACAGACCGGCAGCAGCTCTACAGGGTCACAGGCTGAGGTCTTTCACGTCACCTACTACCTAGTCCTTCTAACGGAAGGTGCCAGGGATTCCACATGCCAAGCAGATGCTCTACCACTGAGCCACAGCCCCTTCCCTAAAGGAGAGATCCCAACTAAGGACTTCAAAGGTACAGTTGTGCAAGTGTTTGCACGTGTGTATTGAACTGCAATGTTAGTGCCTTTACACAGTTTCACAACAGCCAGTCACACGTGGATTTTAAGTCTTATTAAACGGCTTCAAAACCTTACCTAAACAAAAACAGAAAACAAAGGAAGGAGACAGAGATTCCCTTCACATGCTGATACATTATTCGATCAACCCAAGAAGAGTGATCATTCATAAAAGGAGGAAGCAGATAAAGATACTAAACTAAGAAATCACAATTATGGCAGTACAGGCCAATCTTCCAAGAGAAATCAGAGACACTGCTTGCATGAGGATTACTTGGTTTCTTTCTTTCTTTTTAAAGCTGGAGAAACAAAAACATCTTGAGGGTGACTGGAAGCAGACACTTACCTGTATGGCCAGCCAGTTCACGGCTGACACGTACATTGCCCTCACGTGTTTTCAGGTTGTAGATGGAGCAGATGTTGTCGAGACCACCACAGGCCACGTAGTTTCCTGATGGGGCATATGCACAGGTCATGACCCAGGATGAGCGCAGAGGAATGGCATGGACCTAGAAGGAAGAACACATGCTCAGCCAGCTATTTTGCCAGGATCCCGGGCCCCAGGTGGTCAAACCACAAGGGCAAGGGGCGAAGTGGTCACCCAAGGCAGTCGGTTCTGGGCACTAGTAAAGAGACAGCCCACATGGCAAGACAGATTTAAGCCACTGGAGTCCATGCAGGACGTTTTCCAGTGAGAGGTCTGGTGAAACTGAACAGGAGCTGGAGAACACAACATCTCCCCTGATAATTAGCAAGGGCGCCATCTGGATGCTCTGCTACAGATATCAAATTGCTTGGGGCCGGCCCTTGACCTGATGATGATTCATTCCTAAAGTTCTTTTGTAGAGAGCCAGTTTGGTGTAGTGGTTAAGTGCACGGACTCTAATCTGGGAGAACCGGGTTTGATTCCCCACTCCTCCACATGCACCTGCTGGAGGACCTTGGGCAAGCCTCAGTTCTGTCAGAGCTGTTCTTGAAAAAAGAGCAGTTTCTGCCAGAGCTCTCTCAGCCCCACCTACCTCACAGGGTGTCTGTTGTGGGGAGGGGAAGGGAAGGAGTTTGCAAGGGTCTCTGACACTCCCTTGGGTAGTGAAGGGCGGGGTATAAATCCAATCTCTTCTCTTCTCTTGTATCCCTGTTAGGTAATATAGTTTTCCCTCTTATTTATCTCCAACACTATCTACCTCCTCTTTCAGAACTCAACTGAAGGGGAGGGAGAGACAAGCCAAGAAGACTGCATGATCCAATCACGAGGCCGCATGTCACAGAAAGAACCTAACTTCAATGCCTTAGTGATCAGGTAGGATGCAAATAGAACAAAGGGAAAGGGGTGTTCTCACAACATCCAGGAGCCAGCGAGGTGCCGTCAATAAGCTTCTACAACCTTCGTGGAGTGAATTGAAAGCTCTTGTTATCCTAACGGTCGCAAGCAGGTCTTTAGAACATTTCGAAATTTCTAGCTGGTGCCATATTTTTGGAGCTCGAACGAGTTACGCAGCTCCGGGGGGGAAAATGTTTCCATTCCTAGACGTTAACATGAAATTTTTAGAAGCCCAGGCAGCTGGGATGGCTCCAGTTCCAGCTGCGTACAGAGTTTGTTGATCATAGATCTATTTAGAGCAGGGATGAGCTTTCTGAGCGTGCGGGCCGTACCATAACTCTTCCCACTCCTGTTTTTGTGATGTGCGTGACCGAGAGATAACAGCTACTGTGGCATCTGTAACTAAGACGGAGGTGCAAATCAGAAAAGGAAAAAAAAAACAACCACCACCCAGGTCAGATCTCACCTCTGCCAGGGACATGCTTGTAAGTTCAAGCTCAGATCCATCTGCGTTATGGAAAAGACAATGCTGATCCACCTTACAGGGTTATTGTGCTGATTCATTAATACCCCGCCTTTCTCCCCGATGGGCATCCAAAGTGGCCGGCATCCTTCTCCTCCATTTTATCCTCACAACCCTGTGAGGTAGGTTAGGGCTGAGAGTATGACAGGGCTAAGGCCACCCGGCGACTCCATGGTACGAGCAGGGATTCAAAACTGGATCTCCCAGATACTAGTCCGCACTCTTAACCACTATACCAGACTAGCTCCGTGTATGTGAATCAGCCTGAACAGCCCAAAATGCTAGTGTTACCGGCGTACACAGCCTGCCCTACAGCTATTCCTTTAAAGAATGGTCAGAATAAAGGCAAAATTCCTTTTGCTATCACGCAAAGACAGCAGATTAGTTGTTGTAGATTTTCCGGGCTGTATGGCCGTGGTCTTGGCATTGTAGGACCTTGTTTCGCCAGCAGCTGTGACTGGCATCCTCAGAGGTATAACACAGAAAGATGTGTTATACTCTCTGTGTCAAGGTGAGAAGAAAAAGGGTAGGCAGGTAATTTATATCTGCTCAGGAAGGTGGGGTAGGGCTGAGTCATTATCTTGTAGGAGTTCCCCAGGCTGTGACATGCTAATAAAAGAGCTTTCCTGAGGAGGTTCTTTTGCATATGGATTGGCTTTTGAAATTCTACAACAACTAATGAACTCCGGCCGTGAAAGCCTTCGACAACATAAAGACAGCAGAACTTACAAAACCCACCTGACAAGAGAAAGGCAGCTTCCGCCTACAAAGAAATCACCAGCCTCTGAGGTTTACAAATAAAGTATAATTAAGAGACTGTAATGACATAAAACCAAGTGCTTTAAAATGGTTCTTTTGACATTACAAATGGAGTCGGGACCGGTGCTCCCTCTAAGCTGTGGGGTCTTGTGAGCAAAAATTCTACTTTGTGAGCGACCGGCATTCAAGTTGCGAGTGAGCGATTTGGCTCCTGCAAAAATTAGTCTGCTTTGGAGCCATCCTTCTTCCTGAGCTAAGACAAAAATGTGTGAGCCAGAGGCTGAAAAACTGTGAGCTAGCTCACACTAACTCAGCTTAGAGGGAACACTGGTCGGGACCTGGTAAATGCAAATACACCTATCAATTTGACTATCACATGACTGATCCATAAGGTGTCCCACCGTCTCTCAAGAACCTAGGGTGGGATCCAATGGTGTGTCCCAGGTTTCAGGCACACCTAGATGACATTCTTCCTCTTTGCTGCATCGCGGTGCACTTTTCTGAAATCAGAGTGACTTTCTAAGGAGCACAGGGAGTTTTTTTTCCATGTGCTGCTGTTTAACCAACAGAGTTCCAAATCACCTTGGGTGCCCAAGAAGGACTAACTGAGCGGTGCTCTGGATCCTGGCCTCAGAAATTCTGCTTTTCCTCATGTTCCATTATTCCTTCTCCTCACATTCTTAGCTTCCTGTTGTTCCACGCCCATAAGTGCTCAAACTGCGTAGCTGCATTTGTTGCATGCCCAGAGAACTGCTACGAAGTAACACCCTTGAGGTCTTTTATGTTTTCTTGATTGGGAATTAGAGGAAGCAGCATGGGCTGGGTTTCATCTGCCAGCTGCCAAGTGTGGGGCTACAACAGGTCATGTGCTCCACTGTTTAAAAAGTCAGCTATTATAATCGGCAGAGAACATCTACCTGGAAGCTGACAAAACGGGTCTCAACATGGTCGCTTGTACTGCATCACTATGAAAGGACGTGTTCCTACAGGCGCTTCCCCCCTCTTTCGTTAGAACGGTCATCGCCAATGTTCCCTCTGAGCTGTGGAGTCTTGTGAGCAAAAAATTCTATTTTGTGAGCTCCTGGCATTAAAGTTGTGAGTGAGTGATTTGGCTCCTGCCTAAATTAGTTTGCTCTGGAGCCATCCTTCTTGAGTCTAAGGCAAAAATGTGTGAGCCGGGGGCTAAAAAACTGTGAGCTAGCTCACACTCACTCAGCTTAGAGGGAACACTGGCGCACCCTGCACAACTGCTTAGCTACAGCACTGCTGCTTGGGGATATTTTTAGACTTGACTTTGTACGGGTAATCTATTCAGAGACTTATGAAAATACTAATCTAAATCTACATTCTGGTTATTGCAGAGTTGTCGTCCAATTTCCTGGATTTGATGAATACTCTCCACTGACAAAACACATGAAACGGGGAAGGACCGTGCACACGCAAAAGGAGGAACAGAAATAATGGTCTCCGATTAGATCAGGGGCAGGGAGTTTCCAGTCTGTTGAGGGACTTCCTTTGGTGGAGGGGGTTTGCCAGCTTCAAATGCCTGACCCCCATCGGGGCACATAAACTTGTGCTCGCTCTGGAGGAGAGACACTGGGGAAGGGGGAAAAACCCCACTCAGCTTTCACAAAGCTGGCCAGAAGTATGCACAGAGCACCAGCAATAAAAATAAAGGCAGGGGGGGGGGGGGGGTAATGCATGAGAATTAGCCCCTCTTCTGCTCAGTGAAACTGGATCAAGTTTAAAACAGACTGACTGCACCCTTTAGACACTCACAATCAATATGTTTTTATTCCCACCTTTACAGCAGAAGCTGGGATTCAAATCTGCAAGAGTGAGTGATTGTGAGACAAAAGCGGTGCAAGTTGGTTGGTTCTGGATGAAGGAGGGCCAAGCGTAGGGCTGCAGTCCTGTATATCAACGCAGCCGTTCGGGACATGACTGATCCAAACCGGAGACGGCTCCACCGTGCAGTTACGGCGTGTGCAATTAAAAATGAATTATATGTTGTCTTTCCTATCCCCTATGAACATTGTTAGTCCCCTGTCTTAAAAGTGTAACTGTAAATCACTTTGAGCCCACTTGTGGGAAAAGCGATTAATAAATCGAAAGCATTATTATTATTATTATTATTATTATATTATTATTATTATTATTATTGTTGTTATATATGGTGTCAGTGAAGGACAAGGCATATGGAAACAAACAGATTAAGAGCACAAAAACTGTTTGTATATCCAGGAGGCACCACCTCCTGGGTGGGTTCTGGGAAGTGGAGGGGACGGCTTCCTAAGATGCAACAGCAAACCCCTGCCCTGTAGGCCTGTCGGCATTTTGCAGCTTCTCACACACATCACCCACTCTGATGCCACTGTGTGACAGAGTGTTGGACTGGATGGGCCATTGGCCTCATACGACTGTGGCTTCTCTTATGTTCTTATGATAATTCTTTGAGGGCTTCAGCACAATGATTAAATGTTTAAAACATGAAATTACCCCTTCTTCTTTCACGAGTTTGGGGGGAAAGATCTCAAAGGTCACGACAGTCTACCTCTTTCCAGTATTCACGGACAGTTTCACATAACAGAAAAGTGCCCTATATGTTAATACACCTTATATAACCAAGTCCAGGTAACATGCAACTGCAGGGAGGATGAGAAGGTGCCTCTTTGTTCCTTTTCATCACCAAAGAGGTTCAAACCTGAGTGACGCTTTGTCTCTCACCCAGCATGTGTTTCCAACGG